AGCTATATAGTAACGCTTTCTTTCTGTCTTTTTTTACAGTGATCTTGTTTTGTATGGCCGCCCTCATATTCCCAATAGGATTCTACATCAATGAAGTAGGGGGACAACCGTACAAATTACCCAACAACACAGTGGTGGGCTCCTCTTATGTACTGTTCGTGCTCTCCATCTTCTTCACAATAGTGGGGCTCCTGTTTGCGGGAAAAGTCTGTCTTCCTGGCTGAGGGGACGTTCCCAGCAGGGACAGCCGGGGTGTTCAAAGTGAGACGGAAGGAAACGGCACTCATCGAGAAGGGCCAACGACAGGGGGTGGTGGTATATGGTAATAACTTATTAAACTGCGAAATTAAACAGACGATTACTGCACACACTACATACGAGTGCTCCCCTCCACCCAACCCAAGCTTCGTTAAACCCGTGCTGTCTTTATGTTGCACCTTTGAGTTTCAACCCAAAGGATCAGGGCTTTGGAGTACACGCAGGCCCGTCCGGAAAGGACAGAGCGCATCCACAGCGACTGCTTCCAGTACTACTTTACTTTGGAATATAGTTCTGTATCTTCTGTTCATTTAAGTTTGCAGAGTTTCACACAATTGCGCCCCCTGCCTTTGTGGAGAGGAAAGACTAGAAACTGGTGGAGAATGCGGGCAGTGACACGATGGACCGGGTGCTCGGTCCATCCAGAGGGGCCACAACGGGACTCCCACATTCGCTCTGGCGGCCCTAGAGCTGGCCGGGACACTGCACTGATACAAAAGAGGGAAAGGAAAAAGGGAACAGTATTAAGAACAATTTTGCTCGCACGCTACATGAGGCGAACACTCCAGGACTGCCGGTCAGGACCCTGCAAGGCTGTGCCTCGCTGTTAAACCTGTTACACGCTCAGATATTGACGGACTGAATGTCTCTGAATCTGACACCATACCAAAATAAACTCCCGCCTGAGCTTACTTGAGTGTGAGGCGAGTTTAGTTCAATCACAGGCGGATGTATTTGTGCTTTGACTTTACACCTGCTCATCTCTTCTTGTTTTGATCTCTGGGTTTGCAGAGCCCTTCATTTGTTTGGTTTGATTTGCTAATGTGCCATAAACCTGTTTTGTTGTATGAATGCTAAGGGCATGAGTTGGGTTTTAGGGAGCACTGCGTGGTATAGCCATTTCAGTAGGCGAAGCACTACAGATGTACAAAAATGAACTCCTTACCTCATTATTTTGCGATTCAGAATTATTTTTCCCCCACCATGACAAAATATGTGCCCTGTAAGTTTTGTTCTGCCTTGATCACAGACATTTCGTTCAAATGCTGCGATCATGGCAAATTATTTATCTGACACTGAATAAAAGGAGCTCAAGAATGCGTGCGTGTTACATTCGCTCGGTTTTTGAAACATTCCCCTTTTTGGAATGCAAATGTACTCTGTTGAGAGTGTCTCTACAGTGGAACAAAACCATAAGTGTTTGTTTATGATGGATGTGTGATATGAAGGTTACATTTTGCCCACAAGCAGTTGTTTTTTCGTTAATCTTCTCTTAGTGTGTGTTGTTTTATTTGAATGTGCTCTTTTGTTTAATCCACTTAAGAAAGGTCATGCTCACAGTCGCCTTTACATTCTTTACTAAATTAGTTTCATTAATGCTTTAAAAGACTGCATTTTCCTAGGAAACATTCATGTTCATTATAGGGATGGCAAACAGATAAAGTATATTTATTCAAATATTAGATGATTCTCGTAAATATATGGGGTAAAAACATACACTCTTGGATCGAAGAATTGATAAAAAATGTTTATAAGAAATTCCCTCCTGCATTCAGGCAAGATGTGTACAATTGCTTTTGACAAAAGATGTCACTCCGTATCGCACTGGGACCTAAATCAATGTGAACTGTGAGAACGACGGTGGACCGCAGTGGACAACTTGCGTGCTAAAGACTGCTTCTGCTTTGGATATTTTGGGAAACCCATCATAAAATGGAAAAAAACGTGCATATAGGGTAATGAAAAGCTATTATTTATGGTTTTAAAAGGGAAGGAAACTAATGTATGAGTAACAGTATTATCTATCAGAGGATGTTAGCAGTCCTTGTGCACAGTTACTGTTAACAGATCCGTATTACTGGCAAGACAACGGTTTTCTCTGCTACTCTTTGTTTCAGTATCTCACTGTATACAATAAAAGGCATTAAAGAAGGCGAACTGTTTGAGTTCAACTGAGCTTTACTTCATTAGGAATCCAGCTGTAGCGATTTCTCTACTTTCTATCCCGATGGTAAAAATTCACCAAACCTTGCATGCATGAAGAATCTGTGGCTAATTGCATTTTGAGTAATTTTTGGAAGCATGAGATGTATGGTTGCCTAGCAACTACTAGTTAAATTTGCAATATTCAAAACATCACCCGGTTTGAGCTAGAGAAAAATTCTCTCACCAGACTACTGCTGCTCGTAGACTATTTTTGTCAGTATTTGACATTGAAGTAAAACTAAAAATCCTGAGATTGCTGGTGTCATTTTTGGAAGTGTACTTTTACAAGTTTGCAAAACTGAAATGGATTTGGTAAATTAAAGTGTTAGACTGTCAATGCAATTCAGTGAAATGTAACGTTAAAGGGTTATTTAGCTTTTGCACATTCGCATCTCCTTGCATTGTGTTGGCTGACAGGTCCTGGAGGAGGGTTTTGGAAAGAGGCTGTGTGCTTGAAGAAATAGAGTGATCTAATTTAACTCAACCAGAAGTTGCTGAAATAATTTACAGTACCTTTAAATATGGGACATCCCTCATACTAGCAAATGAGAAAAAAATCTAGCAAAAAATAAATCATCAGATAGATAGAAATCATCAGACAGCTAGATAGATAGAAATCATCAGATAGATAGATAGAAATCATCAGATAGATAGAAATCATCAGATAGATAGATAGATAGAAATCATCAGATAGATAGATAGATAGAAATCATCAATCATCAGATAGATGGATAGAAATCAATAGATAGATAGATAGAAATCATCAGACAGCTAGATAGATAGAAATCATCAGATCGCTAGATAGATAGAAATCATCAGATAGATAGAAATCATCAGACAGATAGATAGAAATTGATTAGAGAAATCGTTAGACATAGAAATCATCAGATAGATTGAAATCATCAGATAGATAGATAGAAATCGATATAGATAGAAATCGTTAGATTGAAATCATCAGATAGATAGAAATCAGATAGATAGAAATCGATATAGATAGAAATCGTTTGAAATCATCAGATAGATAGAAATCATCAGATAGATAGAAATCATCAGACAGATAGATAGAAATCAATATAGATAGATTAAAATCATCAGATAGGTAGATAGAAATCATCAGATAGATAGAAATCATCAGATAGATAGAAATCTTTGATAGATTGAAATCATCATATAGATAGAAATCATCAGATAGAAATCATCAGATGGATAGAAATCATCAGATAGATAGATAGAAATCATCAAACAGATAGAAATCATCAGATAGGTAGAAATCATCAGATAGATAGATTGAAATCATCAGATAGATAGAAATCATCAGATAGATAGAAATCGATATAGATAGAAATCGTTAGAAATCATCAGATAGATAGATAGAAATCATCAGATAGATAGATAGATAGAAATCATCAGATAGGTAGAAATCGATAGACAGAACTCATCAGATAGAAATCATCAGATAGATAGAAATCATCAGACAGATAGATAGAAATCGAGATAGATAGATTGAAATCATCAGATTGAAATCATCAGATAGATAGAAATCATCAGACAGATAGATAGAAATCGATATAGATAGATTGAAATCATCATAGATAGAAATCATCAGATAGATGGAAATCATCAGATAGATAGAAATCGTTAGATTGAAATCATCAGATAGATAGAAATAGATATAGATAGATAGATGGATAGATGGACTATAGAGACAAAAAAATGTAACTACAAAAAAATAAAACTTTAAATTAATATTGAAAACGGAAAATTAATATGAATAAACTGTAAATTAAATGTTAATAAAAACTATAATAGCATATCAGTGATACTCATAACACTGCATTATGCATGATTCTTTTATTCACAGCCTTGTTTAACAGTAAGGAATTATGCATATAGTTAAATAGATAATAAAATTGATTTTGCAAAAAAAAAAAAAAAATCATCAGATAGATAGATAGATAGAAATCATCAGATGGATAGAAATCATCAGACAGATAGAAATCGATATAGATAAATAGATTGAAATCATCAGATAGATAGAAATCATCAGATAGATAGAAATCGTTAGATAGATAGAAATCATCAGATAGATGGATAGAAATCATCAGACAGATAGAAATCATCAGATAGAAATCATCAGATAGATGGATAGAAATCATCAGATAGATGGATAGAAATCATCAGACAGATAGATAGAAATCATCAGACAGATAGATAGAAATTAGAAATCATCAGATAGATTGAAATCATCAGATAGATAGATAGATAGAAATCATCAGATGGATAGAAATCATCAGACAGATAGAAATCGATATAGATAAATAGATTGAAATCATCAGATAGATAGAAATCATCAGATAGATAGAAATCGATATAGATAGATTGAAATCATCATAGATAGAAATCATCAGATAGATGGAAATCATCAGATAGATAGAAATCGTTAGATTGAAATCATCAGATAGATAGATAGATAGAAATCATCAGATGGATAGAAATCATCAGACAGATAGAAATCGATATAGATAAATAGATTGAAATCATCAGATAGATAGAAATCATCAGA